AACGGAATCTTCAGTTGTTTTGTTTACCATACGTTTTCTTTTTCTTAACCTTTGTTGTGGCAGCTCATGTTCAATTACAATATCTTTGTTTCTAATGGTCTCAATCTGATTTATATAATTTAGAAATGCATTCGTCTTTTTAACAATTTAATCAAATTTGTCATACATTTCATTTATCATTGATTTTGCATTTATTACCAAATGGTAGGCTTGGATAAAATCAATGCCTTCTTCTGTCTCAAGATAATTTGAGGCAATAGTCACTTATTCAAACATTTTTATCAAGAGCATTTTTTTGAGTCAAAATCTGTACTTTCAGCCATTTCTAATAAAACTAGTATCAACGTAGAATAAATTTCTTTAGAATGGTCGTCAAACGTGCCAAATAAAGTAGAAACAGCCTTACTCTTTGCCCACCATCTAGTCTCTTCAATTTTTTGTAATCTTTTAACATGGGTGTGAGTAGATTTTAACGTTTCCCATATATAGACTCTTTTATAAAACTCCGAAATAAAACATGCTACTCGATTTAACAACCCAAAGTAAGATTTAATTTGTTGATTGCATTGAGTGCTATCACATACAACTAAATTTAGTATATGTGCATAGCACCATGTAAACAAAGATTTTGGTGAAAAGTCCTTAATATGAGCTTGGAGTCCATTGTACTGACCTGACATATTAGCTACGCCGTCGAAGCTACAGCCAATTATTTTTGTCTCGTCGATGTCTAAGTTATTTAAAACATTAACAAATTTGGTCTTAAGAGCCAGCCCAGTACTTATCTCCACTGGAACAATATCTAACAACCTTTATTTTACTTTACCCTCACTATCTATACAGCGAACTATACTTGAACATTGTTCAACCACGCTAATATCCTGGGTTGAATCAATTTGAACACTATAATTTCCAGCTTCTTTAACTTCGTTTGCTACTCTTAATTTAATTTCATTTCCGATTATAGTTATTATTTTGTTTACAGTTGTTTTGCCGAAAAATGTAATTAAATTACCTCGGCCATGGCTGTCTTTATGCTTTTATTTTCTTGACAATGCGTCCTTAGCTGCCATATCCACATGATGTTTCAATATATCGTAATATTTTGCCAATAGTAAAACTAGCTCCAGGAAATTTCCTTTTCCTTCTGTATCATCCATCATCCCTTTCTCATTTCCCCCCCTATAAGCAATTCCTTGTTTCGCAATGAAACAAATTATATTAATTATTTTTAGTAAGCAAAGTCTTAGATACAATTCAAAAGTATACTTGCTCTGCTTTAATTTATTAGAACTAGGCTAAACTGGATAAGATTCCAAAAATAATGATTTGGTTTCCATACTAGATTCTGCAGATAAAGGAATGAATTTGGTTAAACTATTTTCAATATTTTCCCTTGGTTTTGGTTGTTCCTCAACTTCAGTTTTTTCAACAGGTTTTTTATGTTTAAAATTTTTTTCACTGCATTTTTCTTCAGATTCATAATTTTCAATTTCAGTTTGTTGGGAGAAAGAATGTGCATTTTCACTATTTTTAGCAGGTGAGTCATTGCTATTTCTTTCCAAAGTACTTATGTCTTCTTCGCAATTTAGAGTATTTGCGCTTTTTTTCAAAAAAAACTTTAACTAGATTGGTTTGGTGACTCTGCCGCTTGTAAAAGTAATTTTTTATGTCTTTCTTCTCGTTTTTCTGTTCAACTTTTGTAGACTCTCTTTTTGGTATTGCTTCGCAAATCAGCCTCAGCCATCTAAGAAATAAGGTTTTCTATTATTTTAAATAAATATATCAACGAAAATAAATTGTTAAGGATTAATCCTAAATTAAAATTAAAAGGAATCTTGGATGATTTAAAAACATACTTTTTGACTTAAAAGTAACACGGAATATTTTAATGGGGTGTACATCAACAAATAATATAATTTTCGAATGTATATTAAAATTCTGGGTAATTATTTTTGTCAAAAATTTACTATTACTATTAGCTTACTAAACTTACTTACTTACTTACTTATAACTTTTATTTAATACACATCGATTTCAATAGGCTTCCTAATGTCTTACTTGGTCCAAACAGTCCAAACAAACAGGAAAAACAAGAAAGAACAATAAGTACATGCAGGCCTCGCGCCTCGCCTCACTTTCGCAACAGCGCACCAATGTTGCCAGATTTCCTAGATTTCGTTGAATTATTGTAAACAACACTTTTATGATGGTGGTTTGATTTATCTCTAGTGCCGTCGGCAAATGCCGACTTGCCGACCGGGCCAGTCCGACACTGGTCTAGCATCCCATCAATAGTTATTGATTGAAACACCATTGCCATTTTCTTGTTTACTAGGTGACGTTTTTTAAGAAAATGAAACTATAAATAAGGTAAAAGTTTAAGTAATACTTTTAAAAACATTTGATATTTTATATTTAAAAGATATTTGTTTAACAATATTTAAGAAGTCTAAAAGTAAGACGGTGCACACAAACGAACGTATATTACTTCTCGTATACCGTCTAACCGGCAACGTTGTGTCGCCAGTTCCTATTAGTCTATTCCCGGCTACGTCATAAATTTTAAAAAATTAATAACTCTGGCAATTGAATAGATAAAAGAAAAAAAATATAAATGTAGCTTTATTTTGAACTGTATTATTCATAAAAAGAAAAATCAAAATGTCCCATTGTAAAGAACTAATGTTTTTGTGGTAAACCAAAAAATTTATAACAGATTGGTTTTGCGTCGTAATTATTATTTTTTTTTATATAAAATAACCATTTAACTATTTTCCTACCATATTTTCATTATATATATTTTTAATTACAATATGCATTTTATATTTTAATCACTCCTTATCGTTGGCAAGGTAAATATATACTTGCGCATAGAAATATTTGGCATTGAATATTAAGCAGACCTACATTTAAACAACGTAACAACCATAAACAAAATATTCCGAATATTTATACGAAAAAAAGGGGTTATTCGCCTCGATAAACATCTCATAACTTTCGAAAAAATGCGCTCAATTTAGTTTTATTGCACATAATCTTTTATGTGATTATTTTAAAATGTGAAGAGTCGAAAAGTAATTATTATTGTTACCCTTAGCCATCAAATTCTCATATACCTTCAATAAATAAAACCAAATTATTATTGATGCAATAATGGTAACAATTTTATATTACAAGTACTCGTATTATTTCATGAGTCAATATTTCTTGCGTGCAAAGGTACACGGAAAAAAGATTGTAGAACAAATTTCTACAATTGTAGATTTTTTCTCTACAATAAATAGTACATATAGGGACAGGGACAATTTGTAGTAAAAATTTCCAAATATTTGTGGAGAATGTATTGTAGAGTTATTATCTACAATATTTAGTAAAAATATCCAAATGCATCATAAGAATTGTTCTACAAATTGTTATAGTTTTTTGCTATTCATTGTATGAATTTATATTAAAAATGTATTGCGTTTTATGAAAATAAATACGAAAATTTTACACAATAAATAGTAAAAATTCATACAAATTGTAGTAATTTTTAATAAAACTTGTAGCAGTATTCCATAATTATTATAATTATAACCTAGAAAAAAATGTTCCTTAATAAAATATTCAATTTATTGTTTTAATATAAAAGATACAAAGTCTTAATTACATTATGTAATAAATAACAGTAATAATAGCACCCTCAGTCTCAGTTGGCTTTTCTGCACCTGAAAAATATGAAATAAAAATTAATAACAATTGAACTGTTCATACCCTTAAAACGGGGATATTTATCACCTTTACACTGATTTGGATATTAAATGACTAAGTCAGATAACTAACAAAAATGAGACACAATTAAGACAAAAAAACATCATTGAACTTGGCACAAAATTCGATCGTTGGGCACAACATTCGATCGTTGGCCACAACTATTTTTTTTTTAAATAATCTACTAAGGTTATTTAAATTAGTTATCTAAAGGTAAATTATTCAGAAACATTAATAAATGTACTTACCACCAATAGAATTTATTATTAAAATTTTCTCAAACGCATCGGTGCTTATATAATATAATGTGTTATAGGTACTCGTATATGTACCATGCCTTGTTATGTGAACATGGCGAACGGCTACTGCTGTCTGGCCATTTATGATAGACGTCAGAAAACGTTGGCCAATAGCAGAATTCTGTTTTGTTCACATGACTTAAAATTTCTACAATATTATAGAATATTTTTGAACAAAATTGAATTTTTTTCATAAGAAGGGATATAAATTATTACTATTTTTTGTAGAGAAAATTACTATTTTTTGTAGAGATAATTATTAATATTTGTACAAATTTTTTCAGAAGTTAGTAGTAGTAATTACGATAATTGTAATAAATTTCTACTTCTACAAACAATAGTAACATATACTAAACATTGTGGACTTCTTTCCTATTGTTGTAGCATTTTATTCGACAATTCAATTGCTACAATAATGAATAGTTTTTAACTATAAATTGTAGTAAAATTTTCTACAAATTGTTAAGTATTGTTCTACAAGTCTACTACTACAACATTGTAGTAAAATTTTCTAGTCACATTTTTTTCCGTGTAGAACAGTATATGTGAAAAAAGTGAGTTTTGAAAAATCGACTTTTTTTGTTTTTTTTTTGGTGCCTTTTAATTATTTTTGTAGATACATTAACGAAACTTGAAACATGAGATAGGTTAGTAATTTCTATCGTTACTACAATAAAAATACCTTTGTTCTTCAATTGCTGTCCTGAAAGTAGCCTCGTTTTATATAAAATATTATTTTTACATAACTTAGGAAGAATCGTATAAACGATTCATATACAGTTTTACCATGTTATTGAAACAACAAATATGTTTACCAAAACTTTATTCTCATATGATTAGGTTACATTATTTTCAATTTTCTATAATTAATGACCTTCTTCGATTAAATCAGCGGAAGAGTTATTTTCGGGAAGCTGAACCCAAAACTGTTTCCCATTGGAGGGCATTTTAGGGACAAGTTCTGTCATAATCTTCGCTTTTTTTATTGGTACAAATTCCTCTGTTTGTGGCCGCCGCCTGAGGCATTTCTAATTTTTCTCTCCGCTTTAATGTGTTCCTTGTGGTTAAAAAATCTCCTCCAGGGGATGTTTGGTATGTAACATCTGTAGAACCTTAAACAAATTTAGCACAAATAATATCCTTGAAATGAGGAATTGATTCAACTTGATTCGACTTCGTTCGAGTTCGAATTATATTTTCAAATTTATGAAAATCAGAAAATCTAGCACCGTTACGTCTGCACGACTAAATGATTTTTGGCAAGCAAGTTTAAAGTCGTTGAAGTCGTAAATATTTCTAATTTTTCTCATACTCTGCTCAATTCGGCCATGAAGGCCATCAGCAGCCATAAATGTATAACCCTTTACTAAGTATTTTAAAATAATTTAATTAGTTAAACAATATGGTGAATTTATGTACGAAATAAGAGACGAATAGAAATTAAAGTTTTTGTTTTGTCCTGTGCAGTTATCCACCCATACGATTATTTTACTAGCACTTCTATTTAAATTTAAAAATTTCACAAAAGCACCTGTTACATCCTCGGCGCGAAGGCCAGCAATCCCCTCATGCCATAAAATCAAATTGTGACAACAACTTTTTTTCTGCATAGACGCGAATGACTCATTATAACACACTAGCCTAGAGGTGAAAAAAGTTTCCTTAACATCAAGCATTCGTGGAAGAAGCACCATTTTTTGCATGTCAGCCGAAAAACAACGTCCTTCTTCATATGGAATATCTTGATCTGACTTATAAAATTCCCTTATTTGTTTAACCTGGAAAAAATCATGCATTAAAAACTATTAAATTAAAGAGTAATATAGCAGCTGTTTACCTTAAGTAAATGTTCGCCTTTAATTTGTCGGTTTTCTTCAGTATCGTTAAGCTCCAATTCCTGACAGAAGCCACACTTTTCTGGTGTTGCTTCATAAAATCCAATGTTCATGTGGTCTATTGTTTGACGATAAACCTCATAGCACACTTGAGAATCTGGATGGATATTATTGTAATCATTATGCATAAATTTTATAGTTAGATCCGGCGGTAAGTATTTACGATTTGGAGCATGTTGCCTTCCATAGTGCGAGTATCTGAAATTAAAAGAGTTTATGTGTGCAACAAGCAAATTTCTATCTTTTTTATTAGCCGAAGGATGCCTGCCTCGCTGATCTTTCTGTGGTACTAAACGCTTATTAACATTTGGATCTGTTAAGGATTTCCTTAGTGATGTTAATAGATTAGCGTTTCCATACCCCAAAGTATTTAAAAAAATCTTTTGGCAAACACTTATATTAGTAATTTCCCCATCGTGGTTCTTTTTCGGCAACACATATTTTCTTGTAATGTCTCTTCTCTCTCCTTCTCGAAGTTTCCTTTTTGAAAGTTGTCCGGTTACTTTTGATGCAAGCCATACTCGTTGTAAATTTTTATCCATATTCCAGTAATCCTCATGGATAAGTTCTCTATCTTCAACGGGGATCTTATCAAAGCACATCATTTTGCAGCTACAAGATCCTCCAATGGGATGCTTATTTTTATTATTTCTCATTTGTTCCTCTAAAGTTCTTTTTCTCTTCCGATTTACTTCGTTCATATTATTATTATCATTTTCTGTTTGCTCCATTTCTATTAATGCCTCAGTCACGGTATTATTGCCTTCTATTGGATTATCATCTTGGTCATTTTCTGTTTCCTCCATTTCTATCATTTCATCCATCTTATTATTGTTTTTTCGTTTATTGTTTCCTTTATTCTCGCTTTGTTCGTCGCTAGTTTCAATTTGTACATCGTCTTGGTTTATATTCGAAAAACCTGTATTTTCAGTTCTTGGTTCCGTTTCTTTTGTTGGTTGATTGTTTCTTTCTAATGTCTTACTGGCAGGGATGTTTTCTGAATCTCCAGTTACATGATGCACCACATCAGCAACTACTACTATTTTCCTCACAGAATCAGTATTCGATTTCCTTTTCCTTTTAGGTTTTGTTTTGTAAGTAGCGCCTTCATTAGACTCATCGTCTTTGCCTTCGTTAGACACATCGCTACTCGAAGAAGCGTTGAAATCTGGGTCAATGTCACAATCATCCATTTCATCGTCATTTAGGAAAGAATCCTCTGGGGCAATATTATCTGCTGAAAACAATATAGGCACATAAAAAAATAATATTTGGAATAATTTGTAATAAATATTTGCTGTTGTGTCATACGTCCTTACTATTATTGAAAATTGGGAAAAAACAACACTTACCCAACTGGTTTAATAATTCTGATTCCGTTTCACTAATTTCTGGTGATTCCTGAAAAATATCGTTTTGATTAGACGATTATTTTATAATAATAATACATCATTGTTATAAAAATACATAATTTATATATTTTGGAGAATAAAACGGGCGTCAGGTGCAGCTGATCCGTTCTAGATCTAAAATATTCATTCTATTGAAATGGTTTGCATTAATTTTCCAATTATCGCATTATGAAATAATTAATAAATTGTTCCTTACCTCAAATCACGAAAAATAATTAAATTATAGGTACTTACGTTATATTTTGTTTTCTTAAGATTTGCTAGTATTCGTAACGTTCTAGCCGACATCCTGCTCTAAATTTTGCTATATAATTCCACATTAATTAGGTAAAAGCATAAACAATATAAACATAAATACTTATGCCGGCAAACTTTTGTTGTGGAAAAACCGTATATAATACCAATTCCAAATAGACATCTGGAGAATATGAAAATCGTTCAAGGCCTTACTATAGTGAAACTGAATATGATATTTTATACTGTTCTATCTTAGGAATATTTCAAAATTTTTACAGAATTTATCAAGGCTATAACAGAATATAACACTATATACTTCTTTACCTATGAGAATTTTTACCAATCCTAAAATATAAGATAGGGAAAAATAATATATGAATTACAATCATTTTTTGCCATTGTAATTTTTAAATTTATTTTAAATAAAATAGTTTAAGGTTATATATATTATTCTGGCTTGGTAGATTTTGCGGGATATACGGTTTTGCCGTGAGAGAAGAATCAGTTTGGCTACACATATACTGTTTGACCGCTGTTTTATTTAAAAAACGAAAAAAGATAGACCTAATTCAAAAATTGCATAAGAAAGAGCGAGAAAAAAAATTAGTTTAGGCGCGAAATTCAAAAATCGAATTTTTGCACATATACTGTTTTACCTTTGCAGGCAAATTTGATTAAAATTATTAAAAGGTTTGAATATTTGCAAACAATATAGGATATTAAAAATTAACGTAGACAACATTGAACAAAATAATAGACCAGCAAAAATTATTACTGCTAGTGCCCTCTTTAAGAGAAGGTGAATTAAAAACAGAACCGAATTATATGATATACAATAAAATGGTAATTAAATATCATAAGGTTTATAAAATAACATAAATGGTATTCAGTAATCAATTAAAAACGGATTCAGGGAACTTTAAAACGTAAAATTCGTCGAAAACCTGATGTCGAAAAAAATAATGATTCCTATACTTTCTTTCTGTTTACAGACAGAAAAGTAAAAATGTGAACAATCTTCATCTACGTGGACTGTTTTCAAATGACTGACATTTTAAACTAGTTATTTACAAGTTTAGTTAGTGACAGTTGTCAAATATAACTGTAAGTTATATAAGTATTGTTACGCAGGTTTTTGGTATCTCAATTTATTTCATCTCAACTTTTACAATAAGTATACATCTGATAACATTAACGTATTACGTCTATTATAAAATTGCTGCTCTGACGTCAGGATCACCGACTTATATAGCTTAACCTTCTTTAACTGTCCAGATTTTTCTTGACAAGGAATGACATTTCTGTACTATTATATCTTCTTCTTTTACTTATGACGACCGCAGCACACTTTAGGGCGATGGGTGACATTGTATTCGTACGTTTGCTCCCTCTTCTCTAATTATTCGTCCCGAATAACTTGTTTACTGGGATCTGGTTGGAGCCAACGGGGAGGATCTGGACCACGATATGGCGCTAACTTTTCAATGGGAACTACCTTGGATTTACTTCCCGCTGATAACTGAATGTGGTAGATCAGGTTGTTGACTTTCTTGAGGACGGTATAGGGGCCTTCCCAGTTCCGTTGCAGTTTCTGACTAAAGTCCTTTTCGGAGCTTGGAATCGCCTCTCTCAAAATATGTTCCTGTGCACGTCGATTCTAGCTTTTGCTTTATCGCTATTAACTTTCAAACGTTGCCGAGTGAATTCGTATACTTTCTCTAATCTTTCTCTTAAGTTATGTATGTACGTAGGAGGTGTACGGTCCTCTTCTTCCCCAGGAGACTGCCTTCCAAAAACAAGATCATGGGGAAGTTTCATCTCCCTTCCAGTAATCATCATGGATGGAGTATAACTGGTCATTTCATGCCCAGAACTTCGGTAGGCTAGCAGAAATAGAGGAATTAAAGTGTCCCAGAGAAGAACATTGAAAGATACTGGCATATCGTTCTATTGTGTCTTTCTACCATTCCGTTGAACTGTGGGTGGAGAGAAGTAGTGCGTGTTTTATTAATTCTTGCCATAATTCGGATTCAAAATTTCGTCCTTGGCCAGAATGCAATTACAGGGGAACTCCGAGTCTCGCAATGACGTTCATCATAAATGCTACCGCTACTGTCGTCGCTTCCTGATTAGGAATAGGCGCTATTTCGGGCCACTTTGAAAAATAGTCCATAACAATCATCAAATATTTGTTTCCCCTTTCTGTTAAGGGAAGTGGTCCGAGGATATCTATGGCGATTCGTTCTAAATGCTCTCCGGAAAGGTACTGTGCCATTTTACCTCGTCTTCTTGTTTTGAGCCCTTTTATGCCAGTACAAAGGTCACATTCCTTACACCAATTTTCTACATCCTGTCGGCAATTGACTCAATAAAATCTTTCCCGAACTCGTGCAAGTGTCCTCCTGAAGCTCCTCCAACACACTTCTGACCTGTGATTTCGGCAATATCACTTGGCGGACTACTTGTACTCCATCAGGGCACTGCCACTTCCGGTGCAATAGGCCATCGTGAAGACACAGGAAATCCCACTGAGCCCAGTATCCTTTAATGGTTCCACTATATTTGGCTATCTTTTGCCATGTAGATCTGACTCCATTTTTGAGCTATTCTCGGACAACCTTCAAGTCTTTGTCTTTCTTTAGTCTTTCTTAGGCTTTCAAGGGTGATTCTGTCTTCGTCATCCTCTGACTTAATAGACTAACTTCTTCAACCAGCTCCTCTCGTTCTTCAAGCCTTTTACAGTACCGGCATTGCCGTTCTAAACAGGGTCGCCTGGAAAGAATGTCTGCGTTGCTATGGAAAAAGCCAAAAAAAAAAAGATTGTCGTCATTTTTTTTGGAATTACTGGGCATGTTTCCACTGTGGCACTGAAGAGGATAGACGTACTATTAACTCAGAATGATACCCTACCGTTTGTTTGCCTCAGGTTCTCCAAATGGTTTGAGAAAAAAATTCAAGAGGAATCTGGCATCAAGATAACTGGCGCTCTAACAAATGAGTATTTGAATGCCCAAAACATAGACATAATGGGTATAGTCCAGACCCAGAATTTTCTTCTTATTTCTTCGGGTAAAGGATAAATTACGGGGTTTATGTTCTATATCGCCCGAAGAAGCAGTTGATGCATTTAAAAATGAAATAAACATACTACGGCCAGAAGATTGGAAAACATGTTTTCAAGAATGGTTTTTAGTGGATGCAAAAATACATTGACTGTGGAGGAGAATGCTTTGGAAAATTATAAGTACATTTTTTTTTAAAATAAATTATTAGGCTCAACGGAAATATAATCTTAACTCACAAATAGCTACCCCCAGTATCAATAATACAGATTTGATAGTGAAATCAAATATATGTATTTAAATCGGGTCGGTGGTGTAGCGGTCTAACGCGCTTATATTCATTTATAAGCAAGTTTATGTGTCAGATTGCTGGGCTTCGAATCCCAGACCAGACCATGTGGATTTTTAATTAAATTGCATGGTTCGGTATAGGATTTGATGTGTGCCGTATTAATAGAAATTCAATTTCTGTTGATATGACATGCAGATTATAAAAAATCGCCATACATTACCGTCTCGATGATGGTGGGTGAGGTTTTCCGGATTTTCCTCACCTGTAAGTCAAATGGCACCATCAATCATCTTTAAGTCGCCCCGGAGCGATACGCCAAATAATAATAGCCGTCCCTTTCCCCGCACAAGCTCAGCTTTTGGGGTTAAAATTCACTCGTAAGGGGGTGAATTAGGGAGAGTATTATTATTATTATTATTATTAATAAATATGGATTTAGTGTTCTAACTCCTTAAGAAAATTATTCTCACCCCCTCATCTGAGTCTATTACTTATTATTTTTTATAAGACTGTTTCCCATCAAAATGACGCCGCTGGTTATAAATTGTCGCACAACAAGCTATAAAACGTAGGTGTGTTTTATCCGTACAGCTAAAAAAATGTAAAAACCTGAGATAGTTCCCAAGTATATGAATAAATATTTAAATTAATGCCGCAAGAGTGATTTCTAGTTGTTGTAAGCGAGCAACGGCACTTATTTTATATAAAAATAAAGTAAAATATCTCCGGCACGTACAGTGGACCATAATGCCTAAAGCGCGACCAAAATTGGTGTGATGTATATGGTCTGAATCAGTAATGTCTTAATTATAGAGGTTTTAATAGTTAAACTGTCACGTAGGTATAATAAATTAACAAATTTTATTTTCGTGGTCTTTTAATTTGTGTTGGTTTTTCGCTTCGATTCATTTTCATGTAAAATTAATTTATTTAAAAAGTTAGGAGAAAAATAATGCGCTTTATTTAGGACTTAAGTAGAGAGTAGAAATTAGAATGTTGCTTAATTGACAGTAAAATAGTGAATTATATGAACGATATTTCTTCAAATATACTGGGATGTGTCGGAAAACAATTTCTTCACGGCCACTACTGAATGTAGTTCTTTCGAAATAACTTATAATAACAAAAAGAAAACATTTTCGCTTTCGAGATTGAAAGACAATTCTGAACCACTTACTTACCTCTTATGTATTTTACATGTACGTCATTCTAACTCTAGAGACAGAATGTTTATTATGTAATAGTTACTGGTCAATGGCTATGAATATCACGCCCACATCGTAGATAGTCATGAATTTAATGACTGACTGTTCTACGCGACGTATTAATATTTAGTTTAAATTTGGCGTTTGTCAAGTCGAACTTAAATTCAAAAATTGGTGAATATAATGATCCATATATGGAATTTGATAATATTGCTCCTGAACTGACAAATTATGGAAATAATTTAAATAAAAACTTGCCTAACATAAGTTAGATTAAACATTTCGTTTTGTTCAAAGTTTAATTTTACTATATTTAACTCCTACTGTGTCTGTTAGAAAGTAGTCTGTTACTCGTGATTGCACTCGTATTAAATTTTCATTCCAACTTTGTTATACTATTCTTCAACAGGACTCATCTCAAACTAAGTGAATATTAAGATCGTGTAACCACTTCTAAATTACTTTTTTTGTACTGCGCGTTAAGTGAAGGTT